GTTCACATGGTGCATTGGAACGTGAGCACCGTCTCCGATATGCCGCGGTATGGGGAGCAGAGGTGATTTACGATCGTCGAATTGCTTTTCCGCGAAACAATTACTATTTATCTGAATACCGTTCCCAAGGGGGTTGTCTCCCCCCGCCGCGCCGGCACGCCAAGTTTATTTCTAACCTACGTTTTTTCCTTGTCTTTCCTCACGCCAGGGTAAAAGTAATTGGTTTTCGGCGCCGATCTGGTCAAGTATTTACTTTGTATCTGAATACCATCTGGCCAGCACGAGACAGTCTGGCGCCACACCTCGACCGACCAAAAGTATAAATGAGCGCGAGAATTTTGTTCTAAGTCACTTTGGCTTCTGAGTCCAGACCAAGCATTACCTCCATTTAACCAGCCCGAGACCGCCGTTGACCCGCGAATCTTGTCTAAACCCACGCCAGCTTAGAACGCCAGACAACCAACACATCTACCTAACCCACCACGAACCGCATACTTTGTCACTGTTTTCTGAACCTTATGAATTAACATTAAAGTTAAGGTTAATATTACTTTTGTTTAAAGGGAGCTAACCCATTATTTAAAATAACCTTTAAATAAACCTTATTAAAACGAGAACTCACAAAATATTTACTTTAATTTTGTAGTGTACAGTCTAGACAAACACTAGACCGCTACTGAAAATAGGTTTATACGCTTTAATTAAATCGGTTTCTAAATAAGTAGTCAATGTATTCGCTTTACATTTTTAGTGTACAACCGACCCAACGAGACAGCCAACCCATCTACTGAACCATTGAGCTACCTATCCATCCGATCCATACACAGCCAACTACACAACAACAGATCCGGCTTAGACGTTCAAACCAACACTGATGTAGGTTTAATATTTCATTTAGTTTTGTTTTAAGTAAACCCACTAAAGTATAAATGAAGTTTTTTAAAATGGTCAAATGTTTTTTTATTTTTTTATTTTTAAATTTATTTTATTTATTTTTTTTATTCTGCAGCCAGCGACCTACCCAAGCTTCTACTCGATTCAACCAGCACACAGTTCATCAATTTTGCAATCATCCCAATCATCCAGCCATCCAGCCATGACCCATCACACATGCGAGATCTGTGACAGAGTATTCAACCGTAATCAACTTTTCATACGCCAGCAAGAGACGGCACATGGACGACAAAGACATCCCTGTACAACATGCGGTAAATAATTTACACGACTTGACAATTTAATAAGACACTATAAGACAGCGCACAACAACAAAACATTACCAGGCGACACCTCATCAGCGACCGACAGACAAACCATCCAACCCCAATCAGTGACTGACAGACAAACCGACCTTACCTCTTCCAACATTAGCCCATTAAAGCAACAAAGGACGTATGAGGACATATCAATCAATAAACGCGTAAAGGCTAAGAACAACAGTAACGTTAATTCAGACACCAATATTTTTCCTGTAGACGACCTTAGGGGAGATGTGGTAGACTTATACGCGACCACAGAAAAACCTTTACCCACATTCCTTCTTACAGATATTCCTGACTTTATTAAACATAATCACGCCATTAACATGTTACAACAGGATTCAAATTCAAAACCAAACACAGACAATTTTTCTTTTTTTAGATGTTAAGCCAGACATTACAGAGCAACCGTAACAGATCTTAGAAAGCCAACATTAAAATTCGCGAAACAGTGGGGTTAGTTTGGTCGAGATCCCTCTCTTAGAGTCATGTTTTAGTTTAAACATAGACTTTTTTTAATTTAATGAAAATCAGGTCCTTTCTCCGAAACTTAGAAGTAGTGATAGATTTAGGGAGACCATGTATCTTTTATTTTTTCAAAATCAGTTTATGTACATTAATAATATAAATGGGGCGGGTCACTCTTTCGCGTGTTCTATGTGTAACAAACTATGGCCCACCATTAAGCAATTGAACAGACACGCGAAATGGTGTAAAGGGGGCTTTATCATACACAGAAAACAATCTGGGAGTTTTTAGCATCATATGGGGTAGATGTAGATATTAAGTTTGTTTATCCCTTCCGCGCAACTTATGATTTTGAATGCTATTTCGACCATACCGAGTTACCCACGTTAGGTAGAGTTACAAAAAGCGTAGCCAAGCACGTGCCTTTGTCTTGCTCTGTAGCCCCAAACGTAGATTGACTGGGGACCCCCAAGAATTAGTGACTAGAGTTATTAAAAGACTCCACGCAATCGCCGAGGCAGCTTATGGTATTTTGAGAAAACAGTTCGATCCGATTTTTAAGCAAATTAGGAAGCTATTTCCACCTAAATCTAAAGGTAGCAATTCTTCTTCTTCTTCTTCGTTCTTAATTATTAGTGTTGAAGGGGATCGAGATTTATCTGCCAGTGGGTTTGAACTCGAGACTTTGTTCGAATTTATCAACCATGAGCTTTTTGCCGACTCGACCACGCCTCCAACACAATTAAGCGTTACGTGTCAACTGGTTCTGCGCCATTGAGGCCATTGACTCCGATTTCAGCCTGCTTTTCTTTTTGGATTTGCTTCCATAGCCTTTGTCCAACCAAGAACAAACTACAAGGCAGCAGCTGTTTAATTTTGGAGTTGTCTCTCCTAGAAGAGTTGCTGTCCCCAGCTAACGAGCCTCATCTGCCCGAGGGTTCGAACTCGAGACTTTTCGGTTTAGCAACCTTTACCGACTCGACCACGCCGAACCCTTAAGGTAGCAATAATAAGCCGAAAGAAAAAGGGTTTGATAGGTTTCTTAGCGCTAGATTAGAAGAGTATTTGCAACAAATGCCGGTTATAGGGTTTAATTCAGGAAAATTATAAAAATCTCGTTAAACCGAATTTCAATCAGTACTTTTTAGCTTATTTAAACACATAAGAAGGGGTAGAAGAGGGACCTAGTTGTAACGCTGATGAAGAAGAAGTCGAAGATAAACAAACTGCGTTTAAATATGTAGTTAAAAGAAATAATAATTTCATGTGTAAATCAGCAAACAAATTAAAGTTCTTAGATATAGTTAATTATCTAGCACCCGGGTTTAGCTATAGTAAATACCTCGCCGCGTATAATGTTAAAGAGACAAAAGGATTTTTCCCATACGAATATGTCAAAAATTTAGCCGTCTTAGACGAATCGTGTTTACCTCCGTATTTGGCCTTTTTTCATCATTAAAAAATTGTAACATTTCAGACGACGAGTACGCGTCGTGTAGGCGAATTTGGGTGGAGAAGGGGATGCAAACTTTTAAAGATTTTCTTATATGGTATAACAATATTGACGGTAAACCGTTTATCGAGGCGCTCGAGCAACAAACACACTTTTACAAAAATTTAGGGTTTGATATTTTCAAAGACGCGATTTCTGTCCCTGGGGTAACCTTAAAATACCTATTTAAAACACTTCTCGAAGACGTTTCTTTTTCTTTGTGGTCCAAGCGCGAATCAGAGTTACATAAAACAATCAGAAATAATATCTTAGGGGGCCCCTCCATAATTTTTCATAGACACCACGAAAAGGTTGAAACTTTTATCAGGTGGAATAGTAATAAGGTGGTACAGGCAATTAAGGCGTACGACGCAAACGAGCTTTATTTATGGTCACTAAATCAAAAAATGCCGACGGGATTTCCGCTTAATAGAAATAGTGAAAATGGGTTTAGACCGCGTAGAGCTAATCATTATGGGGAACAGGCGTGGCAGTGGTTATCATGGGTTTCAAAAGCAAAGGGAGTAACTTTAAAAACCGCGTCTAACGGGGTCGAAGTTAGTTTAGGATCCCGCCATATAAGAGTAGACGGGTGGGACGCGAAGGGTCGAACCGTTTATCAATTCCATGGCTGCCTCTTTCACTGACACCCTGACTGCCCCTTAACTAAAGATAGAACAGTAAATCCTATTAGTAATAAACCCTTGACTGATTTATTTAAAAAGGCAACCGAAATTACGAAGTACCTGGCCAATCTTGTTGACGTTAAGTCGTAGAAATGTGGGAATGTGAGTGGGGGAACCATAAAAAGACCAACCCAACTATTAAAGATTTTTTAAAATCTATTGACAAATCCCAAAAGACACCGACACCGACCTATGGTAAAAAATGACCCTTGACTGAAAAACAGATCATCGAATCTGTTTTAGACGACTCGTGTTTTGGTTTGATAGAATGCGACATTAAAGTTCCCGATTGTTTAAGAAAGCATTTTAGTGAGATGACGCCTTTTTTAAAAAAATACAAACGGTACGCGTGACGACATCGGACCGTTTATGAGACAATACGCGATCAACAACAACTTAGTGACTAGCGGTAGACGAACTTTAATCGGTAGTTTTGAAGGGGAGAAAATTTTATTAGTGACCCCCCTTTTAAAGTGGTATTTAAATCATGGGTTGATAGTAACTAAAATTTATCAAGTGGTTGAATGTAATCCGGTTTCGTGTTTTAAGACGTTTGGGGATATAGTTTCAGACGCGCGAAGAAAGGGTGACATAGACGACAAATACGCGATAACGAGCGAAACAATGAAATTGTTAGGAAACGCGGCATACGGTAAAACTTAAACGGATAAAACACGACATGCGGATATGACTTACTGTAGTGATAGCGATATAGGGCGTTGTATTTATAACCCGCGATTTTAAAAAAATGACAAAACTTACCGACGCTGTTTACGAAGTAGAAACGTTAAAAAATAACGTTGATTGGGATCTCCCTCTACAGATAGGTTTTTTCGTTTATCAATACGCGAAACTTAGGATGCTAGAATTTTATTATGATTTTATATTCATGTATATAGATAGGACCGACTTTCAGCTGTGCGAGATGGACACTGACAGCTCATACTTAGCCTTAAGCACCGATGACTTGTTAAAAGCCGTTAGACCCGGATTAGAACATGAGTTTTTTGACGTTTACGACAAATGGTTCCCCTCAGCAGTCTGCGGCTCACATAGACCCCAATTTATTAGCGGCAAAGGCACGGTAGATATTTATTGTCAGGTGTGAAGGGCTAGGAAAATTTATGAAAAGAGAACACCGGGGTTGTTTAAGTTAGAGTATGAAGGGGATGGGATATCTTTATGTAGTAAGACTTACCACTGTTTCGGAGACTATAATAAAACATCAACCAAAGGATTATCCAAAAATCACAACGCACTAGGCAAAGAGTCTTTTATGCAGGTACTCACAACAAAAGAACCAAGTGGTGGGACAAATACAGGTTTCAGGGCATACGACACGGGGAAATATACTTACACCTAACACAGAAACTCACTTTCTTACTTTTATATTAAAAGACAAGTACACGCAGACAATGTGACAACATCTCCCCTAAACATATAAGACTTTGGCAGTTATAGTTTTAACCATGACTTTAACGAGAATTTAATGTAAATATGTAAATAAGACGGAACCCTGACTGTATGCTGATGGGGTTGTTTTTA